CCATAAAGATTAAATCTCTTCTATCCATAAAAAATTAACTGCCAAATACCTCATTGAAGTTTTAATACAAATTATCCCTTAAAGTATAAATACCACATTTTTCCTCAAACTTTAAATACCACATATTCCCTCAAAGTTTAAAAACCACTTATTCCTTTATATTTTAAGTAAAGTCGCTCTTTAGACCTAGGTATCAATTGGTCAGATGAAGTAGAGTTCATGTTTCTTGACCTCGGCATAAGAAGGGATCGTGTGGTCAGCATTATGCCCAGCAACCTTTACTTTCCCAAACGCAGGTCGGGTACCCGTCAGAGCTGGGTGAATATCCTACAGTCACGTCCTAACCGAGATATGAACTCGGGACTTTTGGAATAGCAGCCAAACGTTCTACTACCCGACCACGCCGCTCCACTCCCTTAGAACTGACCATTTCCTCACACTGACCACTCTCTCAAAGATGACCATTCCCTCAAAGCTGACCACTCCCTCAAAGCTGACCACTCCCTCAAAGCTGACCACTCCCTCAAAGCTGACCACTCCCTCAAAGCTGACCACTCCCTCAAAGCTGACCACTCCCTCAAAGCTGACCATTCCCTCAAAGCTGACCACTCCCTCAAAGCTGACCACTCCCTCAAAGCTGACCACTCCCTCAAAGCTGACCACTCCCTCAAAGCTGACCCCTCCCTCAAAGCTGACCATTCCCTCAAAGCTGACCACTCCCTCAAAGCTGACCCCTCCCTCAAAGCTGACCCCTCCCTCAAAGCTGACCATTCCCTCAAAGCTGACCACTCCCTCAAAGCTGACCCCTCCCTCAAAGCTGACCATTCCCTCAAAGCTGACCCCTCCCTCAAAGCTGACCACTCCCTCAAAGCTGACCACTCCCTCAAAGCTGACCCCTCCCTCAAAGCTGACCACTCCCTCAAAGCTGACCACTCCCTCAAAGCTGACCCCTCCCTCAAAGCTGACCACTCCCTCAAAGCTGACCACTCCCTCAAAGCTGACCACTCCCTCAAAGCTGACCCCTCCCTCAAAGCTGACCACTCCCTCAAAGCTGACCCCTCCCTCAAAGCTGACCACTCCCTCAAAGCTGACCACTCCCTCAAAGCTGACCCCTCCCTCAAAGCTGACCACTCCCTCAAAGCTGACCACTCCCTCAAAGCTGACCACTCCCTCAAAGCTGACCACTCCCTCAAAGCTGACCACTCCCTCAAAGCTGACCACTCCCTCAAAGCTGACCACTCCCTTAAAGCTGACCACTCCCTCAAAGCTGACCACTTATCCCTTGGTCTCTAGTTGCTGTGCATTCGAGCATGAAAACCTGATGCGTCTACCTCCCCGCGAGTCCCTCTTCTACTGGGAGGAAGATTACCTCAGCCAGCCTCACCTGAGTGACCTGATGGACACAGCCGACGCCAGCAAGTCCACCATCCACATCATCAGCGAGCCGGCCAACGGTGTCTTTACAGTGGGCGACAAAGTCGAGTTTTTGGTGACCTTGTATGACGGGAACGGCAATAAACGAGAGCTGGGTCAGTGGATTTTGGTTGTTTTTTTTTTTTTTTATATAAGATGAGTATATTATTGTCAACTGTATAAAGTACTATAAAGTCTAGTTTGGTTTACGGAGTTCAAAAGATTTTTCTAAGTCCAGCCTGATTTGAGGAATATTTGATTGAAATTATGTACACTATTATATTAAAGCTTAACTATAGGGGATTGGATAAACATGACTGAGATAGAGAATGAAGTAATCCCATCGGTAGATAAGCAATGTTCCCTCTAAGCTGCACGGTTGCGCGGCCGCGAAGTTATTTTGAGCGGCCGCGAGGTGATTATGTAAAATAAATATACCCTTGTATAAGACTTTTAGAACAGCGCGCACAGAAAATACATGTTGCACACTGGCTTTCCCCCTTAGAGGGAAGATTGTAGATGAGACTAATCCTAACTTACCTTGGCAGGCGGAGACAGCGTCAACCTGTGGTTGTACAACGATGACCTGGGGGCTTACATCGCTGCTGACGTCACGGACTTCCAAGATGGCAGCTACTCTGCTACAACCTTGCTCCCGTGGAGTGGGGTCGTCAAGGTCAATGCCACCATCGCTTACAGCCGGGAACTCTACAGGGCTGTCTTGTTTGTTCAGGTATTCCTGGGGTCAGGTATTCCTGGGGTCAGGTATTCCTGGGGTCAAGTATTCCTGGGGTCAGGTATTCCTGGGGTCAGGTATTCCTGGGGTCAGGTATTCCTGGGGTCAGGTATTCCTGGGGTCAGGTATTCCTGGGGTCAGGTATTCCTGGGGTCAGGTATTCCTGGGGTCAGGTATTCCTGGGGTCAGGTATTCTTGGGGTCAGGTATTCTTGGGGTCAGGTATTCTTGGGGTCAGGTATTTCTTGCCTGGTATTATCATCTATGAGACCATACGAGAGAAAGAACAATGTGCTAGTTTAGTAACTTGAACAGGCCACGTACTGTATGGTTTGTGACACGTGACACATAAACTGTACATAAAATGGTGGATAGACCTGAATTATGTTTGTACATTTACGTGTTGGTAGCGGTGTTAGATTATTCACTTCAGTTTGTTACAACTGAATCACCACTCCATCCCTTAGACTAGCAGTTTGTTACAATTGAACCACCACTCCATCCCTTAGACTAGCAGTTTGTTACAACTGAATCACCACTCTATCCCTTAGACTAGCAGTTTGTTACAACTGAACCACCACTCCATCCCTTAGACTAGCAGTTTGTTACAACTGAATCACCACTCCATCCCTTAGACTAGCAGTTTGTTACAACTGAACCACCACTCCATCCCTTAGACTAGCAGTTTGTTACAACTGAATCACCACTCTATCCCTTAGACTAGCAGTTTGTTACAACTGAACCACCACTCCATCCCTTAGACTAGCAGTTTGTTACAACTGAATCACCACTCCATCCCTTAGACTAGCAGTTTGTTACAACTGAATCACCACTCCATCCCTTAGACTAGCAGTTTGTTACAACTGAATCACCACTCCATCCCTTAGACTAGCAGTTTGTTACAACTGAATCACCACTCCATCCCTTAGACTAGCAGTTTGTTACAACTGAATCACCACTCCATCCCTTAGACTAGCAGTTTGTTACAACTGAATCACCACTCCATCCCTTAGACTAGCAGTTTGTTACAACTGAATCACCACTCCATCCCTTAGACTAGCAGTTTGTTACAACTGAATCACCACTTCATCCATTAGACTAGCAGTTCGTTACAACTGAATCACCACTCCATCCCTTAGACTAGCAGTTTGTTACACCTGAATCACCACTCCATCCCTTAGACTAGCAGTTTGTTACACCTGAATCACCACTCCATCCCTCACATCCTCCCCTCACAGCTACTTCGGCTAACCCCTCCCTCCCCAGACTTCTTTCCACCCCCTACCCCTCGCCTTACAACTTCTACAACAATCCCCCCTCCTTACACCTCACAACTTCTGCCATCCCCACCCTTATTAGAAACTTCACTCCACCCCCTCCTCTCACAAGTTCTGCTACACCCCCCCCCCCCCAATCCTCAGCGACTTCAAGACGACCCATTGGTTTACCGCCACCTTTGCCACCCCCTCCTCTCACAAGTTATGCTACCCCCCCCCCCTCCATCCCCAGAGACTCTTCAAAACGACCCACTGGTTTACCGCCACTTTTGCCACCCCCTCCTCTCACAAGTTCTGCCCCCCCCCCATCCTCAGAAACTCTTCAAGACGACCCACTGGTTTACCGCCACCTTTGCCACCCCCTCCTCTCACAAGTTCTGCCCCCCCCCCCCCCCATCCTCAGAAACTCTTCAAGACGACCCACTGGTTTACCGCCACCTTTGCCACCCCCTCCTCTCACAAGTTCTGCCCCCCCCCCCCCCCCCATCCTCAGAAACTCTTCAAGACGACCCACTGGTTTACCGCCACCTTTGCCACCCCCTCCTCTCACAAGTTCTGCTACCCCCCCCCCCCCTCCATCCCCAGAGACTCTTCAAGACGACCCACTGGTTTACCGCCACCTTCGCCACCCCCGAGGCCTCCGAGACCACGCCCTGCTTGACCCACCCCGAGCTGCCTGGCTTCACCAAGACAGAGGTCTGCAACCTGACCCAGGAGAACGGTGGCTTCCCCTGGTACTGCGGCAAGCCGGTCAAGTCTCAGCTCCTCAATGTGAGTACTTGACATGGGGTGACCTTGACATGGAGTGATATTGGTATGTGGTGACCTTGACATGTGGTAACCTTGACATGTGGTGACCTTGACATGTGATGACCTTGACATGGGATGACATTGGCATGGAGATTACCTTGACATGGGATGACCGTGATATTTTGTGACCTTGACTTGTGGTGACCTTGACATGGTGTGCCTTGCCGCGGGGTGTTCTTGACAATGGATGGCCTTGACATAGGGTGACCTTTCCATGTGGTGACCTTGACATGTGATGACATTGACATGGTGTGACCTTGACATTGTCCATGACGTCATACTTGATTTGATGCTGAGCGAGCTCACATTACTAAAAAAAATGGAATAAAACATATATAATGTAAACGTCCCTGTATGTCTGTCATTGATCTAACGAGTGTATGTACGTCTGACATTGATCTAACAAGTGTATGTATGTCTGTCACTAATCTAAGAAGTCCCTGTATACCTCACCAATCTAACAAGTCCCTGTATGTCAGTCACTAATCTGTCACTGATCTAACTTGTGTATGTCTGTCACTGATCTAACGTGTGTATGACGGTCACTGATCTAACTTGTGTATGTCTGTCACTGATCTAACTTGTGTATGTCTGTCACTGATCTAACTTGTGTATGTCTGGCAGTGATCTAACAATTGTATGTATGTCTGTCACCAATCCAACAAGTCCCTGTATGTCTGTCACTGATACAACAAGTCCCTGTATGTCTGTCACTGATCCAACAAGTCCCTGTATGTCTGTCACTGATCCAACAAGTCCCTGTATGTCTGTCACTGATCCAACAAGTCCCTGTATGTCTGTCACCAATCTAACAAGTCCCTGTATGTCTGTCACCAATCCAACAAGTCCCTGTATGTCTGTCACTGATACAACAAGTCCCTGTATGTCTGTCACTGATCCAACAAGTCCCTGTATGTCTGTCACTGATCCAACAAGTCCCTGTATGTCTGTCACTGATCCAACAAGTCCCTGTATGTCTGTCACCAATCTAACAAGTCCCTGTATGTCTGTCACAGATCCAACAAGTCCCTGTATGTCTGTCACCAATCTAACAAGTCCCTGTATGTCTGTCATTGATCCAACAAGTCCCTGTATATCTGTCAACAATCTAACGAGTCTCTGTGTGTCTGTCACCAATCTAACAAGTCCCTGTATGTCTGTCACAGATCCAACAAGTCCCTGTATGTCTGTCACCAATCTAACAAGTCCCTGTATGTCTGTCACCAATCTAACAAGTCCCTGTATGTCTGTCACAGATCCAACAAGTCCCTGTATGTCTGTCACCAATCTAACAAGTCCCTGTATGTCTGTCACAGATCCAACAAGTCCCTGTATGTCTGTCACCAATCTAACAAGTCCCTGTATGTCTGTCACCAATCTAACAAGTCCCTGTATGTCTGTCACAGATCCAACAAGTCCCTGTATGTCTGTCACCAATCCAACAAGTCCCTGTATGTCTGTCATTGATCCAACAAGTCCTTGTATGTCTGTCATTGATCCAACAAGTCCCTGTATGTCTGTCACCAATCCAACAAGTCCCTGTATGTCTGTCCTTGATCCAACAAGTCCCTGTATGTCTGTCACTGATCTAACAAGTCCCTGTATGTCTGTCATTGATCCAACAAGTCCCTGTATGTCTGTCACTGATCTAACAAGTCCCTGTATGTCTGTCATTGATCCAACAAGTCCCTGTATGTCTGTCACCAATCCAACAAGTCCCTGTATGGATGTCATTGATCCAACAAGTCCTTGTATGTCTGTCATTGATCCAACAAGTCCCTGTATGTCTGTCACCAATCCAACAAGTCCCTGTATGTCTGTCATTGATCCAACAAGTCCCTGTATGTCTGTCATTGATCCAACAAGTCCCTGTATGTCTGTCACTGATCTAACAAGTCCCTGTATGTCTGTCATTGATCCAACAAGTCCCTGTATGTCTGTCACCAATCCAACAAGTCCCTGTATGTCTGTCACCAATCCAACAAGTCCCTGTATGTCTGTCATTGATCCAACAAGTCCCTGTATATCTGTCAACAATCTAACGAGTCTCTGTGTGTCTGTCACCAATCTAACAAGTCCCTGTATGTCTGTCACCAATCTAACAAGTCCCTGTATGTCTGTCACCAATCTAACGAGTCTCTGTGTGTCTGTCACCAATCTAACGAGTCTCTGTGTGTCTGTCACCAATCTAACAAGTCCCTGTATGTCTGTCACCAATCTAACGAGTCTCTGTGTGTCTGTCACCAATCTAACGAGTCTCTGTGTGTCTGTCACCAATCTAACAAGTCCCTGTATGTCTGTCACCAATCTAACAAGTCCCTGTATGTCTGTCACCAATCTAACGAGTCTCTGTGTGTCTGTCACCAATCTAACAAGTCCCTGTATGTCTGTCACCAATCTAACAAGTCCCTGTATGTCTGTCACCAATCTAACGAGTCTCTGTGTGTCTGTCACCAATCTAACAAGTCCCTGTATGTCTGTCACCAATCTAACGAGTCTCTGTGTGTCTGTCACCAATCTAACGAGTCTCTGTGTGTCTGTCACCAATCTAACAAGTCCCTGTATATCTGTCACAGATCTAACAAGTGTACGTATGTATGTCATTGATCTAGCGAGTGTATGTATGTCTGTCACCAGTGCTCCAACTACGCGACAGTCAGACGACTAGACATGAACAGCATGTTCCCTCTGACGCGTGCCGAGGAACTTCTCATGAGATACACGGAAACGTAAGCCGTAGTTTTTTTACGCCAAATTACCCTCTCTGCTTCTTGCTTAAGATTTTAGGCAGAAAGTTTCTTCATGTTTTTTACATGAATCCAAGACAGCATTTATTTTCTCGTAATGCTACCGTCTTAATTCCTTTATATTCGTCACATTAGACGTTAGAGTCCATTTTCTTTGACTTAAATATTTGTAGTTGACATGTGCCTTTTTTTTTAATTTAAAGATTATACGTAGACAGCTTGTTTATGCTTGTTACTAACATAAACGTAGGCAGCATTGTTTCTTTATGTTACGAACATAAACGTAGGCAGCGTTGTTTATGCTTGTTACGAACATAAACGTAGGCAGCATTGTTTCTTTATGTTTGTTGATGTTACGTTACAGTTGTGCATAATGACGCAACAGGTGGGGACTCAATGTCACGTCAGAGAATTGCCTTGGAAAAAAAATTATAATGTTTAAGTTTTTCAGTTCATTTTATTAAATGAAATTGCATTAAGAGTGACAATGGCATCCACTGGGAATGCGGAGTTATATTAAAACATGTGGTGATAAGACTGTAGGATTTCGTTGGACTGAGAGCTAAATATAGGGCACATGTTTTTTTTAAGTTTTCAGCACATAAACAAAATTTGATAAACAGGCAAAAAAAAAAGAAAGAAACTGGTTTGTTTTTTCTCGTTAGTACATGGTTAATGGAAGATAAAATATCAGGTATATAAAAATAAATGTATATAAAATGTAGCTTAAAGTAAAGGTACCAACAATATGTTTTTAAGTTCTCTGCATTTAAAAATTTTATAACAATGATTTTTTATATTTTTTCTGGATTTTGGTTTAGATGTAAGTTGTTTTTTAATTTTTTTACGGCCTCTCTGAAGGCAAAAAAAAAAACCCGAATTTTTTTTTTATCGTTGTGTTTTAGACACATCTCACCCACTTCCAATTCTATGTTCATTACAAAACTAATCATCAACAGGCGACGCCCATTTCTTATACCAAATGATATTATTTTAAAAGTTGTTTCAAGTAAGTTCAACCCGTTTTTTTAAAGGTATTTCTTTTAAACCTTTTTTTTAATTAAATATTTAAAAATTACACCTACCCCTTTATCGCTCATTAGTCCCTCATATACATGACCAGAGTTTCTTCCAGACATCTCTTCGGTCCCCCCTCCTTCGCCCGAAAAATGTCTACCAACCCCCCCCCCCCCAGAACGAAATGGAATTTATATAGAAAATATATACTTTAAATTTTGCCCCCCCCCCCCCCTCCCAGAGAATATTAAATGTTCCCCCCCCCCCCCCCCCCGAGAAAAAAGTCTGAAAGAAACACTGTCCATGAAGTATGTCAAATTTGTATCAAATGTGGATACTATGTAACTCTTAACCTTCAACTCTAAGACTAGTCCTTAACTTAACCGGTACCCAAACCCCAATTTTATCTACGTTACGTTGATTACAGAACGGCTAACCCAAATGTGACCTTTAACCTTTGATAGAATCCACGCATTTGTCGCTGCCATTGCCCAAACTACAGTGTAAGGACCGGAGATTGCCGGATACCTTCGACGATACGAACGTGTCCGGCTATTTCTTCAACAACACCTGGCGGCCGTTCGCCTGCCGGCTGCCGGAAATCAACAAACAGTTTATGCTGGACTGCTTGAGGAACACAAGCGTAAGGTTTTTTTATACACTTTTTGGTGCGTTTCCGTTAACCGGAACTGTCGATGATAGCCCTATATCTTTAGCTTGTTGAAGAAAGAATCAATATGTTGACTTTTGGCAAGGTTTAAAAAATCTTAAATCGCCGGCAGGACAATTCAGTATCGACTAAGATTATTTTTCTGTGTATACCACTGATAGGGTAACGGTTCAATGTAGATATCTTAGAAACAATAGTAAATTGGATACAAGCTGTCGGAGTTTTACAGCTGATTGTGGAGTTAAATTTAGCCTTCTCCCTGTTAGGTCCTGTATTTAGGAGACTAGCATTAGCTTTCTTCCTGTTAGGTCCTGTATTTAGGAGATTAGCATTAGCTTTCTACCTTCTAGGTCCTGTATTTAGGAGACTAGCATTAGCTTTCTACCTGTTAGGTCATGTATTTAGGAGACTAGCATTTGCTTTCTACCTTCTAGGTCCTGTATTTAGGAGACTAGCATTAGCTTTCTCCCTGTTAGGTCCTGTATTTAGGAGACTAGCATTAGCTTTCTACCTTCTAGGTCCTGTATTTAGGAGACTAGCATTAGCTTTCTACCTTCTAGGTCCTGTATTTAGGAGACTAGTATTAGCTTTCTACCTTCTAGGTCCTGTATTTAGGAGACTAGTATTAGCTTTCTACCTTCTAGGTCCTGTATTTAGGAGACTAGCATTAGCTTTCTACCTTCTAGGTCCTGTATTTAGGAGACTAGCATTAGCTTTCTACCTTCTAGGTCCTGTATTTAGGAGACTAGCATTAGCTTTCTACCTTCTAGGTCCTGTATTTAGGAGACTAGCATTAGCTTTCTACCTTCTAGGTCCTGTATTTAGGAGACTAGCATTAGCTTTCTACCTTCTAGGTCCTGTATTTAGGAGACTAGCATTAGCTTTCTACCTTCTAGGTCCTGTATTTAGGAGATTAGCATTAGCTTTCTACCTTCTAGGTCCTGTATTTAGGAGACTAGTATTAGCTTTCTACCTTCTAGGTCCTGTATTTAGGAGACTAGTATTAGCTTTCTACCTTCTAGGTCCTGTATTTAGGAGACTAGCATTAGCTTTCTACCTTCTAGGTCCTGTATTTAGGAGACTAGCATTAGCTTTCTACCTTCTAGGTCCTGTATTTAGGAGACTAGTATTAGCTTTCTACCTTCTAGGTCCTGTATTTAGGAGACTAGCATTAGCTTTCTACCTTCTAGGTCCTGTATTTAGGAGACTAGCATTAGCTTTCTACCTTCTAGGTCCTGTATTTAGGAGACTAGCATTAGCTTTCTACCTTCTAGGTCCTGTATTTAGGAGACTAGCATTAGCTTTCTACCTTCTAGGTCCTGTATTTAGGAGACTAGCATTAGCTTTCTACCTTCTAGGTCCTGTATTTAGGAGACTAGCATTAGCTTTCTACCTTCTAGGTCCTGTATTTAGGAGACTAGCATTAGCTTTCTACCTTCTAGGTCCTGTATTTAGGAGACTAGCATTAGCTTTCTACCTTCTAGGTCCTGTATTTAGGAGACTAGCATTAGCTTTCTACCTTCTAGGTCCTGTATTTAGGAGACTAGCATTAGCTTTCTACCTTCTAGGTCCTGTATTTAGGAGACTAGCATTAGCTTTCTACCTTCTAGGTCCTGTATTTAGGAGACTAGCATTAGCTTTCTACCTTCTAGGTCCTGTATTTAGGAGACTAGCATTAGCTTTCTACCTTCTAGGTCCTGTATTTAGGAGACTAGCATTAGCTTTCTACCTTCTAGGTCCTGTATTTAGGAGACTAGTATTAGCTTTCTACCTTCTAGGTCCTGTATTTAGGAGACTAGCATTAGCTTTCTACCTTCTAGGTCCTGTATTTAGGAGACTAGCATTAGCTTTCTACCTTCTAGGTCCTGTATTTAGGAGACTAGCATTAGCTTTCTCCCTTCTAGGTCCTGTATTTAGGAGACTAGTATTAGCTTTCTACCTTCTAGGTCCTGTATTTAGGAGACTAGCATTAGCTTTCTACCTTCTAGGTCCTGTATTTAGGAGACTAGCATTAGCTTTCTACCTTCTAGGTCCTGTATTTAGGAGACTAGCATTAGCTTTCTACCTTCTAGGTCCTGTATTTAGGAGACTAGCATTAGCTTTCTACCTTCTAGGTCCTGTATTTAGGAGACTAGCATTAGCTTTCTACCTGTTAGGTCCTGTATTTAGGAGACTAGCATTAGCTTTCTACCTTCTAGGTCCTGTATTTAGGAGACTAGCATTAGCTTTCTACCTTCTAGGTCCTGTATTTAGGAGACTAGCATTAGCTTTCTACCTTCTAGGTCCTGTATTTAGGAGACTAGCATTAGCTTTCTACCTTCTAGGTCCTGTATTTAGGAGACTAGCATTAGCTTTCTACCTTCTAGGTCCTGTATTTAGGAGACTAGCATTAGCTTTCTACCTTCTAGGTCCTGTATTTAGGAGACTAGCATTAGCTTTCTACCTTCTAGGTCCTGTATTTAGGAGACTAGCATTAGCTTTCTACCTTCTAGGTCCTGTATTTAGGAGACTAGCATTAGCTTTCTACCTTCTAGGTCCTGTATTTAGGAGACTAGCATTAGCTTTCTACCTTCTAGGTCCTGTATTTATGAGACTAGCATTAGCTTTCTACCTTCTAGGTCCTGTATTTAGGAGACTAGCATTAGCTTTCTACCTTCTAGGTCCTGTATTTAGGAGACTAGCATTAGCTTTATACCTTCTAGGTCCTGTATTTAGGAGACTAGCATTAGCTTTCTACCTGTTAGGTCATGTATTTAGGAGACTAGCATTTGCTTTCTACCTTCTAGGTCCTGTATTTAGGAGACTAGCATTAGCTTTCTCCCTGTTAGGTCCTGTATTTAGGAGATTAGCATTAGCTTTCTACCTTCTAGGTCCTGTATTTAGGAGACTAGCATTAGCTTTCTACCTTCTAGGTCCTGTATTTAGGAGACTAGCATTAGCTTTCTACCTTCTAGGTCCTGTATTTAGGAGACTAGCATTAGCTTTCTACCTTCTAGGTCCTGTATTTAGGAGACTAGCATTAGCTTTCTACCTTCTAGGTCCTGTATTTATGAGACTAGCATTAGCTTTCTACCTTCTAGGTCCTGTATTTAGGAGACTAGCATTAGCTTTCTACCTTCTAGGTCCTGTATTTAGGAGACTAGCATTAGCTTTCTACCTTCTAGGTCCTGTATTTAGGAGACTAGCATTAGCTTTCTACCTGTTAGGTCATGTATTTAGGAGACTAGCATTTGCTTTCTACCTTCTAGGTCCTGTATTTAGGAGACTAGCATTAGCTTTCTCCCTGTTAGGTCCTGTATTTAGGAGATTAGCATTAGCTTTCTACCTTCTAGGTCCTGTATTTAGGAGATTAGCATTTGCTTTCTACCTTCTAGGTCCTGTATTTAGGAGACTAGCATTAGCTTTCTACCTTCTAGGTCCTGTATTTAGGAGATTAGCATTTGCTTTCTACCTTCTAGGTCCTGTATTTAGGAGATTAGCATTTGCTTTCTACCTTCTAGGTCCTGTATTTAGGAGACTAGCATTTGCTTTCTACCTTCTAGGTCCTGTATTTAGGAGACTAGCATTTGCTTTCTACCTTCTAGGTCCTGTATTTAGGAGACTAGCATTAGCTTTCTACCTTCTAGGTCCTGTATTTAGGAGACTAGCATTTGCTTTCTACCTTCTAGGTCCTGTATTTAGGAGACTAGCATTAGCTTTCTACCTGCTAGGTCCTGTATTTAGGAGACTAGCATTAGCTTTCTACCTTCTAGGTCCTGTATTTAGGAGACTAGTATTAGCTTTCTACCTTCTAGGTCCTGTATTTAGGAGATTAGCATTAGCTTTCTGCCTTCTAGGTCCTGTATTTAGGAGACTAGCATTAGCTTTCTACCTTCTAGGTCATGTATTTAGGAGACTAGCATTAGCTTTCTACCTTCTAGGTCATGTATTTAGGAGACTAGCATTAGCTTTCTACCTTCTAGGTCATGTATTTAGGAGACTAGCATTAGCTTTCTACCTTCTAGGTCCTGTATTTAGGAGACTCGAACTCTAGAAGCCAGAATGACCTACTGAGGGCGCTGATACAGTGCCAGGACAGGAAGAGAAGATACAAGGTAAGGATTGTCTATAGAGGTCATTCACCTCCAGATATGATTGTCTATAGAGGTCATTCACGTCCAGATATGATTGTCCATAGAAGTCATTAGCTTCAAGATATGTAAGCCAATGTAACACCACCCCTATCGTCATAAACATTCAACCCTCCCCACTTCCTCGCAAATGACCCCACACACTGCCACCAGTCTTAGAAAATCATTATGTTGTGAATTAATATTTTTATAATTAATGTTTTTATCATTCTTTTCATCATTAATAGTCGTAAAAATATATAATGAATTCTATTTCATATTTCACAACGCCCCCCCCCCCCTTCTTCCTTGAAAAGAACATCGTCACATTCAGTGACAGCGGGTACTTAATATTAGTTAGTTACTCGCCTGTTATATGTGTATGTTATACTCAACAATTATATGATGTAGTTTATACTCTTCTGTTATATGATGTGTGTTCTACTCTCCTGTTATATGATGTGATTTATACTCTCCTGTTATATGATGTGATTTATACTCTCCTGTTATATGATGTGATTTATACTCTCCTGTTATATGATGTGGTTTATACTCTCTTGTTATATGATGTGTGTTCTACTCGACTGTTATATGATGTAGTTTATACTCTCCTGTTATATGATGTGATTTATACTCTCCTGTTATATGATGTGGTTTATACTCTCTTGTTATATGATGTGATTTATACTCGACTGTTATATGATGTGTGTTCTACTCGACTGTTATATGATGTGGCTTATACTCCACTGTTATATGATGTGATGTGTGTTCTACTCGACTCTTATATGATGTGGATTATACTCCACTGTTATATGATGTGGTTTATACTCTGCTGTTATATGATGTGTGTTCTACACTACTGTCATATGATGTGGTTTATAATCTGCTGTTATATGATGTGGTTTATACTCTCCTGTTATATGATGTGATTTATACTCTCCTGTTATATGATGTGGTTTATACTCTCCTGTTATATGATATGGTTTAAGCTCCACTGTTATCATTAATTTTTACGCCTTCCTTCCAGCTGACTTGGCACGCCATGTTGTTGTGCGATAACTTTACTATGGGCGTGTCCCTGGCCTATTACCCGGCCAAACATCCTTTTTATGGATCTTTCGTAAGTTGGTCTCTCACATTTTATAGCACCGCTCGATTTACATAGTTTGAAATAGTTACAGCTGTTACTACATTGAATCGGTTACAGACTTTTTTTTTTAGGTTAAGTTAAGGTGTCCTTACGTAAACAAAGTAGAGTTCACGTGTTGACTTGAGTGAAGCAACGTATTATTGTCTGTTAAATGCCCAGCCACCTTTATCTCCTTATCTTTATTAGGTAGCTATCAGTTCTAGTTGGAATAAAAACCGTCTTACAGACTAACTTTTGGTAGCCGAACTCGAGACTTGCCTGTAAGCAAACGTGTCTTCTAGCGCTCAGCAACCCAGAGGCGTAGCGATGGGGGGGGGGGGGGGGTACATATGTCCCCGGGCGCCGACCTTAGGGGGCGCGAAAATGGTTTGGAAAATAAATTAAAATTTCATTTTAGCTGCATTTTTGCCTTTTAAAAACAGTTTGAGGGGGGGGGGGGTGTACAAATAAAAAATTTGCTCTGACGGGGGCGCCAAATTGAAAGTTTGTCCCCGGGCGCCGGGAATGGTCGCTACGCCTCTGCAGCAACCCCGTCTCAAACTTTGTATTGTTTAAACAGTATAAAGATAAGCATTTCTTCTATAACTAATCCACAGTAATCAAACTTTTATTTTATGGAAAATGATGTTAGATTATGTAAGGAAACTCTAATGAACAAATACCAAAGTTTTAGTTTTTGTTTTTAACTTTACTGAAAAAAAAACCCAAAAAACAGCACAGCTTCTCACGTGAGACTGACTTTATTTTAAAAATATGTACTCATTTCTATCTCCACAGCAAGAAGATCTCTCCATCGACGTCATCTACTCATCAGTCGAAAAACTCGACTCCATACCAGCGGAGGGAAAATACATCGTCCATCTCCACGATTTCCTGCATTTAGTGCCCTTTCATTTATCTGTCTTAGAGCATAGACTCGGCCTAGTTCGGCTAGCAGTCCAACGCCTATTGGCTAGAAACCCCACGGCCTATATCATCTACCAATCAGCGCATTCGGCTTATGCTGGGTGGAGGGGTATACGTCACAAGATGGATTACTACCTGCTGGATTTACAGCGCAACGCAATGAAAGGTCTGGGGGAGAGGGTGATGTTTGCCTACACATGGCCGATGACGGTAGCGGTTAAAAATATGGAGACGCACCCGGAGATTTCTCATCAGTTTTTGAATTTATACATGGGGCATATATGCGGGAGATAGGTGGAGTCATTATCTAGTGATGGCGGCAGCACTAAAGGGGTCACCACTACCACTACTGTAAGGGTGGCAGCATGCAGTGGCGTAGCCAGGATCGTCTCAAGGGGGGGGGGGGGTTCCAATTTTTACCCGGGAACAAACTTTCGATTTGCACCCCCCCTCAAACTTTCGATTTGCACCCCCCTCAAACTTTCGATTTGCACCCCCCCCCCCCCCTCAAACTTTCGATTTGCACCCCCTACTTTTTATATATATACCGAGGGGTCTATGGGGGGGGGAGGGTTATGACCCCCTAACCCCCCCCCCCTGCCTACGCCACTGGCAGCATTATATCACGTGACTTTATACACTGGTTTCACAAAAGAAATTCCTACCTTGGGTATTTGTAAAAACTATGTTTAGAATTATAATGTAGGCTGGCTGGCCCTATGGTTTTTACTAACTCGATAAAGCACGGCATTTATACTAAACTGCCCCTCCCCCTAGCTGATAGACGAGCATTTCAATGGGGAGATATGAAGCAGTGATATTACAAGGTGTGTGAGGGTGGGGTGCTGCACACCATTGAGTGACGCCTCTGGTTATATAATGTTTAAAATTGTATGTGATCTCGATTTATTCTGCTGTTATTTGTGTGATAAGAGGTTTGCTATTGTAATGGTGAATTAAATGCATTAAGGTTCTTGAATTAGTTAATTAAGATAATTATTCATGTTATATATAGTCGTGTCAATCACATGCACGTATTGCCAATTTTTCTTTTGGTCTCATGATTTCAACTTGCATGGTGCACAATCCTTCTGTACCTCCAGTGATAATGAATCGCACCCCTCTCCTCGGCACACTTCCTTTGCTGATGTTTCAAGTACACTTAACAAACCATGGTGAAGCGCTTTGACCCGGGCTACTAAGTATGCCCAGGGTTGGGTAGTTTGATCTATGTTTCATACCACTAGAGCACAATCAATAACACTACCAAAACATGCACAGAAAAAGCATGAAGAAAAAAAGATAATTAAAAACATGTTTAATAATCCCTTATCCATATCTACAGCTAAACAACAGTCACTGATAGTAGTGACACAGTGACAAATATTACTGCCACTGACACCAGCAGTTCTCTCATCCCACTCACAAAATGTCACTGACACCACACATCTCTCATCCCACTCACAAAATTTTAACTTGCAGATAGTTCAACAGCTGGTCTAACAGTCATCATACAAGACAAGCTTCCAAAACAAAAGAAAAATTCAACCAATCGGCTTTCATCATCAAACCAGTTTGTCAATACATGCTTTTGAAATTCAGTTTGTTAACTCTATAAAACTGAACCAAATTTACGAAAGATTTTAAAGAAAATTACTAGTAGAAATGCAAATTACTATGTGTGACAATATAAAAAAAATTTAAGAAAATTAATTTTTAAAATAGTGCCGCAAGGAAAAAAAAGGAATATTTATGAGGGAAAAATAATTTTAAAATGTAATTTTAAAAACCATCTCTGGAGTTTTGGTCCCATCTTTTGGGGGTCAAATTAATGGTTTCCATGGAGTTCAAACTCTGGATAATATATTTGAGTCACTAATTACAAATAGTTGACCAAATAAGACAAGTCAACTTTATTTCCAAGTCATCTTGTGTTTTCTTAGTTCTCTATCACATGTGGAATCGTAGTCAATAGTTCTTATTATGAAGCATACATTCACATGAAACTCAAGCTGATGATTCTATTTATAGAAACAATACTAGCCGAGTGATGTCAATAAACACAAATACATCTGAGCTACCACACTAACACCATGTAGATACATGTTTGGTTAAACAGAAAAAATAAGTTAAAGCTTGTTTTATTAAGGCTGAAAAATCTTAGGTATAACTGCTTATAGTCGTGGCCAACACTATGGAGAAAATAACTGGAGAGAAAAAAAAATTATTGTTGAAAATCAGAACATGGATTTGAAAGAAGGATTGGTGATCTCAACACGGAGAAATCAGACAATTGTTTAGATCACAAGGAAATGTTGGTGTGGAATTGTTAGAAATCAGACAATTGTTTAGATCACAAGGAAATAGTGTGGAATTGTTAGAGGTGGATTTGGAACAGTACTGGCGACAACTGCTCTACTAGGATTTAAAGAGCAGGACAGGCGGAGATTTCTAGACAATAAACTCACTGATGGACTCACTAACTGGTACTCAAATAAAATTTTCCATTGAGAAGAAAAACTGTCAAGTTTTTAACACTCTATCCAATGGTCACATAAGGGAGCTCATTACTCTAACATTTTCTTTGCTCTAAGAACTTTATAATTATGAATGTAACCCAATGTTATTACTATGTATTTTTAAGTGAAACAGTTCAACAGTGTATACAAGTTCTTCACTTTGATACGTATAAACACTATATACACATCAACAAGCATAGTTCAGTTAATAACTTCATTTAGAGACAAAATATCATACAAGTAATAAACAGCAGAGATAGCTCAAAGTTGGGTCAGGCATTAGATAGGGGACATACTCTGAACAATGGATCATAGGATCACTACAGTACTGTTCTTTTAATTAAGAAATCAAAACCAACAACTGTCCTAAAGAGTTTACTCGGAATTAAAACACCCAGCTATAAGCTCCAGTCTGTTCCACCTTACCTTACAAATCTTAAACTGAGTTACCATCCTAAGCCCTTACCATCAAGTTACCATCCTAAGCCCTTACCATCAAGTTACCATCCTAAGCCCTTACCATCAAGTTACCATCCCAAGCCCTTACCATCAAGTTACCATCCCAAGACCTTACCATCAAGTTACTATCCTAAGCCCTTACCATCACATCCTACCCTGATCACTTAATTACACTTCTACCCTTATCACAGAGTTACCATTTGACCACTATCATCAAACTACCAATCTATCCCTGAAATCAAACTACCAATCTATCCCTGGAATCAAATTATCATTCAACTCCTAACCCCTGACTTTTATTTATTTTTTCAACAAATCTTAAACAGAATGAATTTAGTAAAAATTAAATAAACTGAGGCCTAACTTTAAAAACACCAGTCATTCTTTAGTTTATATGTCAACATATTTTTATAGCAACAAATTTAATTATTTAAAAACAAAGTATTATGTACATAAATGTAATTATTGAATAATAATAGTTCAGTAATACTTTTTAGGTTATTACATATACAAGATATACACAACAACTCACAAACAAAAACAATTAACTGAAAATAACATTTTCTGTCTAAATAACAAGGTTACGTTCCTATATTAAGAATACAAAATTTATAATAGTTAACAAAGCAATATTTAAATGAAAAGTCATAATATAACTTAGTTAAAAGAACTAAAACAGTTGCCATGTCAAACAGAGGCGTAACAAACCCTCCCAACACCGGAAACAAACTTTCAATCCCACTTTTTGTTTCATTCTATGCAACAGGAAGTTAGTATTTTGATTTGTTTTTTAACTACAGCTCTTAAGCCAGTTAAGTAAACTGTATCAACAAACAAACACATGACACATGGACACACTCATGAGGTCAAAGGTGATGGTTACATGTGATCTGGTAAAGTTTTAGGTTATGTCATTATTTTAACACATTCATGAGTAAAGAGAAAACATCAAGACAAACAAGGGAAAACAATCAAAACAATCAAGGGGAAAATAAAAACAATCCTAGAAGAAAAAATACAGCTTTAGTCAGCTATAGTGATTAAAGCTTTAAAACTCATTAAAATTAAACCACCCCATACACATTAAAGCTTTACAAATACCTAATACAGAAGAAGTAAACAATTAAGGTAATAAAAAATGTAAAGAAAAACTCTCAATTTAGTTTTTAACTACCAACTTGAAGGCAATTTGTTGAAATCTCATGAGGGCAAAAAAAAAAAGACATGAAATGTGTATAAAACAGCTAGGTTTGTCTAATAAATTATAAAATAGTTTTAAAATCACAGAGCAAAGATTAGTTGATATGAGCAGAGACTTGAACTAGGACTAGACAGTTGTGTTGTATTGCACTGCTCAGTCTATGTGAACAGGATGCATCCTCCCAATCTATAGGCTACAAGTCAGTCTGTAAACCAATACAACCATACTATATCGTTAAAGTAAATATTTTATACCTCTCTTTCTGGCTATAATACAAGATTTCTCACAATAAAAGTAACAATTTAATGACTATTATTCAGCTATTAATCGATTTTTTTCACACCAATCATTCTGCATAAAAGAAATGTCATAACAATCTTTAGATCAATTTTCTGCTTCTGAAAGGGTACATTAAGGCTGATCTGGATACAACTTGGTACCCAGAAGTTGAGCCCCTAAATTTGGTCTTAACGCTGTAATAAAAAGGTATAAATTGACTTTCCTATCTATATCACTGTGGGACCCTGAAGTTATGAGCCCCTAAATTTGGTCTTAACGCTGAAATAAAAAGGTATAAATTGACCATCCTATCTATATCACTGTGGCCCACATAGAAGTTTCAGCCATTGGGGCTCATTTGTGTTTAAAATATTTTAATTACTCTCTAGAAAGAATGTCATAGACAGCTGTCAACAATTTTTCCACAACCCACACCCTTGATTTTATCATAAATACAATAGTAACCATACACCAGTCCATTGTTTTTCTCAGGTGTAAAATTAAATGAAATATTTAAATACAGCATACATTTCGAATGTTTCAATTCACTCACACAGCCATAAAAAATACTTGAGCAAGACTAAACAAGAGTATTGCGGGTGGCAGGCCTATTCTAATGTATAAACTGTTAAGCTCTAACCCTCAGTGAAAGCCTAAAACATATTTACACTAATTCAAATCAAGAGCTGTTTTTACTTGAAGGCATATATAAATTTATAGGTCTTTAAAAAAATTACACAGTAATTGTTATAAAAAAGTATTGCTATTTAAATTACTATTAGAATGTTATTAAACTTGAATGTAATAACAGGAAACCTTATTTAAACATTTTCTTCAGCGCTAAAGAAATAAATAAAAACTAGCAAATGATCTGGCTTTTGTTAAATAATCAACACAATTAGATATCACATTCCATCTTTACAATGTTGGTTACAAAAGAAAGAAAAATCTGACCAAAATTTAAGAAAATCTGGCTAGTATATCTTTAGAACAGAAGACAAAAAAACAAAAATTGGTTTACACCATTTAAGCATAAAATAATGTACACATCTTCTACACATTAAATTTTCATGTACAGAAATAGCTTTCCACCACAATCTCTTGTGTAACAGTTTGGTACACACACTGACACACATCATAACCAAACCAACAAACAATTGTTTAAATATATGGCAATGCAAACCAAAACCGACAAAAAAAAATGTTATGTGATTTATCTAGCATTTTAAACTGTGCATTGGAGATCAGTAAATATGGGTGATGTCAGTAAAATAAATAATTTTAAAAAGTCCCCTCCAGTCATCTTCCAAAGAGCTCCCCCACACTACATCACAATCCCCTGAGCTCCCCCACACTACATCACAATCCCCTGAGCTCCCCCACACTACATCACAATCCCCTGAGCTCCCCCACACTACATCACAATCCCCTGAGCTCCCCCACACTACATCACAATCCCCTCACAAGCCAACAATCATCCTGTTTTGATTCTATTTAAGGCTGAGGTTGGAAGAGAAAAGCAAATAAAAAAAAGTTGCTATACTAGCATAGCAGTGCCTTGATTGCTAGGCATGCAGTGACAGTAGTCGAACACATAGATGTGAGGTCAGTACATGTATAGCACCCCCCCCCCCCCCCACCAACTTGTGAGCAGTCAAACATACAACACTTGCAGTATCTGTAGTTCATGTCCACAAAATAAAATGGCAGGTATAATAGGATCATATAATTAGATAATGACTTGCCTTCCATACAATAACTAATACCTCCAGTATTGATCTGTGTAAGTTTTGATCCACTCAGTAGGTGTTCAGTTTTAAAAACATTAGTAGAAATAGTAGCCTCCCTTGCTTAGACAGTTTTTCAAGTAAGTATTTAGGATTAAAATTAAAGAAAATATTTAAAAATCAAATTTCTGAATTGAAATAAGTACGAAAAGAGATTAGAAATAAAGATCGAAACAGTTTACACATTTAGGTCTAGCTCAACTAGTTTTATGTCAGCATTCAAAGTAGTGAAAGAATAAGGTATCATTTGCAATAAACAGTTTTGGTAACTGAATCATAATATTTTACCCTTTAGAATGTAAAGTAAGAATAAAACATGCAATAATAAGGTAGTACAAGATGACATAGAGATGGATGTTAACAGTCCAACTGAGACAGATGCTTGCAGATACCAGACAGTCAACATTTCTTGTAACATGCAGGTACAGTTAAGATACAGGGTGTCCTCAACTGTTAACATGGCTCTCAAGTTTGATTTAGTCTCTTACAAGAAAAGTACACAAATCTATGTCACATAGTTCAAAGTTCCAGCTAGCAGGAGGGGCATCGCCATAACTGTCAGCATGGTTCTCCAAAGTTGATTTAGTCTCTTACAAGAAAACTACACAAATCAATGTCACACAGTCCACCAATCATCAAAGTTCCAGCTAGCAGGAGGAGGGGCATTGCCATAACTGTCAGCATGGTTCTCCAAAGTTGATTCAGTTTCACCCAGCAGCCACACAAATCAATGTCATACAGTCCACCAATCAGGCAAAGGGGGGAGGGTCAGCTCCAGCTTGTATCATAGCCTTTCCAGTCTTGGGGAGGAGCCAGGAAAATTCTTCTGTCCCTCAGCATGAAACTGACCACGCCTCTATAGGCCGCTCTTGGTACACCAGCCTACAAGGTCAGAGCAACATAGAAAGATTACAACAACAAAAAAATGATAATTAATTATACTATAAATTTGTTAACAACAGACTTCTTAAGCTCTTTGAAAAAGATTAGTTTTGTAAGGTTTTGGATTAACTCTTGTAATTAAAAACAAGCTATAAAAGTATCTATTTTACCTACATCTCTTGTGATTTATGTGAACTAAAATATTTGAAAATCCACCTCAAAGTCATTGATATAGCCCAAAGCTTTGTCCTATTTGAGACCTTGAAATAACCTATATAAAAACCCACCTTAAAGTCATCCATAATGCTCAAAGGTTTGTTCTATTTGAGGTTTTGAAATAAGCCCTATGTAGAAACCCACCTTAAAGTCATCCATAATGCTCAAAGGTTTGTTCTATTTGAGGTTTTGAAATAAGCCCTATGTAGAAACCCACCTTAAAGTCATCCATAATGCTCAAAGGTTTGTTCTATTTGAGGTTTTGAAATAAGCCCTATGTAGAAACCCACCTTAAAGTCATCCATAATGCTCAAAGTTTTGTTCTATTTGAGGTTTTGAAATAAGCCCTATGTAGAAACCCACCTTAAAGTCATCCATAATGCTCAAAGATTTGTTCTATTTGAGGTTTTTAAATAAGCACGACGTAGAAACCCACCTTAAAGTCATCCATAATGCTCAAAGGTTTGTTCTATTTGAGGTTTTGAAATAAGCCCTATGTAGAAACCCACCTTAAAGTCATCCATAATGCTCAAAGGTTGGTTCTATTTGAGGTTTTGAAATAAGCCCTATGTAGAAACCCACCTTAAAGTCATCCATAATGCTCAAAGTTTTGTTCTATTTGAGGTTTTGAAATAAGCCCTATGTAGAAACCCACCTTAAAGTCATCCATAATGCTCAAAGGTTTGTTCTATTTGAGGTTTTGAAATAAGCCCTATGTAGAAACCCACCTTAAAGTCATCCATAATGCTCAAAGTTTTGTTCTATTTGAGGTTTTGAAATAAGCCCTATGTAGAAACCCACCTTAAAGTCATCCATAATGCTCAAAGATTTGTTCTATTTGAGGTTTTTAAATAAGCACGACGTAGAAACCCACCTTAAAGTCATCCATAATGCTCAAAGGTTTGTTCTATTTGAGGTTTTGAAATAAGCCCTATGTAGAAACCCACCTTAAAGTCATCCATAATGCTCAAAGGTTGGTTCTATTTGAGGTTTTGAAATAAGCCCTATGTAGAAACCCACCTTAAAGTCATCCATAATGCCCAAAGCTTTGGCCAATCCCTTGAAGCTCTCCTTGTTAGTATACTCCACCCTGACCACTGTATCACTGGACCTCTCCCCATTCCTAACCTCAGCGCCTGTCAATACTGGAGCACTGTACACTTTTTTGGTAAATATTTCATCATATTTTTCCTGTACAGAGAGAAACTTGTCAGCCTCTTGCTTGATGCAAATATCTGTCTAATCAAACTACATTGAATGTGTAGCATTTAATGCCTGATTTAATCTACAGTGTACCATACTGAACAATGAAATCTCACAATCAACATGTTAAGAGGTGCATGGTTGGATGGTAGAGCTCAAGACTGCTAACCTGTATGCTGAGAGTTCTGAACTCAAGTTTGTAGGATGTACCTTAGTCCATCCAGCTCAGATGGGTACCTGACTCACGTTAGATAAACTAGGGAAACTGAGCATAGTGATGACCACATTACAGAGAGATGAACTCTACTTCATCTACCCCCATGTGTCTTGGGCAGAAACAGGAAAAAATTATGATGCGGATTCACATGTTTCTGACCTGATTGAATGTAACAGTTACCATGTTTTAGCAAGCTTTCTGAAACCACAACATGTGATTCTGAAATGATAGTGAAACACCTGAGTGAAATGAAATACCTTTTGTAAATATGACAAGTCCATTTTAGTAAACGGAACAAACTCTGAATTGAGCTTGATAAACTTTAAATGCTTATCATAGTAGAGTCCCCTGCAACAAAGATGAGACCATTAGTGATGTTGTCAGTCAATATAGAGAATGTAATGCAGAGGCGTAGCGACCCTTCCTGGCGCCCAGGGACAAACTTTCAATTTGGCACCCCCCCCTCGGGAACAAACCTTTAATTTTCAAATTTGCACCCCCCCCCCATATATTTTTTATATTTATAATGACAAACTGCATCTAAAATGTGATTTTAATTTGTTTTTCCAAACAATTTTGGTGCCCCCTAAGGTCGGCGCCCAGGGACATATGTACCCCCTGCCCCCCCTTCGCTACACCTCTGATGTGATGACTAGTCTGCAGATAAGGCATGAAATGGCAAGAAAAGTGAATGCTTTGACTAATCCTAGTGATCAGGGATGAAAACTGTCCATCAGTTCAGTGAATGTTGTGACTAGTCTTAAAGTGGGTGTTACAACTTGACCTACAGTGAATGTTATGACTAGTCTTAAAGTGGGTGTTACAACTTGACCTACAGTGAATGTTATGACTAGTCTTAAAGTGGGTGTTACAACTGTGTCCTACAGTGAATGTTATGACTAGTCTTAAAGTGAGTGTTACAACTGTGTCCTACAGTGAATGTTATGACTAGTCTTAAAGTGGGTGTTACAACTTGTCCTACAGTGAATGTAATGACTAGTCTTAAAGTGAATGTTACAACTTGTCCTAAAGTGAATGTTATGACTAGTCTTAAAGTGGGTGTTACAACTTGTCCTAAAGTGAATGTTATGTCTAGTCTTAAAGTGAATGTTACAACTTGTCCTAAAGTGAATGTTATGACTAGTCTTAAAGTGAATGTTACAACTTGTCCTACAGTGAATGTTATGCCTAGTCTTAAAGTGGGTGTTACAACTTGACCTACAGTGAATGTTATGACTAGTCTTAAAGTGGGTGTTACAACTGTGTCCTACAGTGAATGTTATGACTAGTCTTAAAGTGAGTGTTACAACTGTGTCCTACAGTGAATGTTATGACTAGTCTTAAAGTGAGTGTTACAACTTGTCCTACAGAGAATCCAATCAGCTTTGACTTACTTGCTCACACCTTTCTTCCCAAACGTACTAGTCCTACAGATCTCCGGTCGTATACACTCTCTCCCCTTCCTCTGCTCTGGATGTCGCATCCAATCATCCCAAAATCTACAAAATGACAAGTGTCAATAATGATCATTAAACATGAATTTAAAATACTTCAGTTGAAAAAAAATGTTAGCTATTTCTTAATAATAAAACAAGGTGCTCAATTTTAATATAATTTATACGAAGAATAACTTATCAAAATTATTATAATTTTAAACTGTAGAATGTATAATAAGCCACCATACCATCATACAGTTTTAGTAATGTTACAACAACCTAAATAATTTTTTTTTACTTTTTAGTGTATTTTGCCCTTTTTATTTTGGTTGGTGAATCAAAGCCTTTTTTATTTAAAACATTTTTCCCATGTTTTAGTCATTAGTTAGAAATGAACTTGACAATACATTGGCTCCTACTAAAAATATCTCCATTAAAATCCATCCAGTAACTTGTGATCTCTAAAATTGTAGATAAAATATCTAAAATTGATTTATATGCCCTACTAAGTTAGTTGTTGCTGATAAGCCACTAAATCAGCCAATTGTGAAGAGTTCACCCTTGACTGCCCTCTGATCAAGCAATAGCCAATATATTTTTTTAAATCTTGTTATTTCCCTTGTGTAGTAATTGAATATAGTTATTTTTAAATTAAATTTCAAATTAGATTTAAAAATTTGATATTCTTGCATTGTCATTCAAGATATACCACTATGCCACATTTCAGTTCAATCTAACAACTAATGTTGCACGATTTGTAAGTATTTGGAATTCCCTCAAACAATGGGAGAAAAAAAATTAGTTTAATAAAAGCAATGGTCACTTAATTGCGGGTGAAATTTCATGAGTGACTAATACTTCACAATGCTTATAAATATTTTCTTTAGTTTTAGAATTTTTTCACTTTCCTCTGGAAAAAATGTTCTTCCATCTTTTCCGTACCTAAGACCAAAATATCTTTCTAAATATGTGAAAATTCTACACATTATATGGCCTAAATTTAAAATCAATGTTCCTTACGTATCTGGCCACTTGGGGCTAAGCTCTAACCAAAGTTTTCTTTCTATCATCCAGCCTAGGCCAGGGAAAAAGTCTGTTCTGTACAATAGATCTGAAATAACATCAGACAACAGATAAAGTGGATATTAATTCAAAGCAGATTCACTCATTATCAGACCTCACAAGCTTTGAACAGATAAACCACCCCATGGTTACTTTAACACTTTAAATATGATGTTCAAACGTATCATTTAATTAAAAAGACAACTCTGTAGTTACAAATCACAAATGTTGCACAAAGACTAAAAATTTTACATTAATGTTCTCACATTACTCATAGAGCATTGAAAATAAATTGTAACATTTTAGGGCTAATATGAATTTAACCAATTATAAAATATTGTTCTCTAATTATCTCCTGACTTTAGTTAACACCCGTGCAAAACATCTGTCCTATATTAAGTATCTACAGAGAAATACAATCACAAAACCAGTTGATTCCCCAGACATGGTTCAAAGACACCCCAGCCTACCTGCCTCCCCTGAGACCATTCCATCTTTCCCGTTGTCATTCCAGGCAGACACACACCACAACATTGGGTCTCGCTGCAGGATGGGATAAGTGGCAGAAAAATATTCATAGAAATCTGGCGAGACATCCAGGTCGTCTGTGAAGTGAAGTCAAACTTTTTAATGTGCTGAATAACACAAAGTGCTGTTTTTAAAAATTGATTTTTTTTTAATTTTATTCAGATTTTACAGCAGATTTATTATATAGTGGAGAGAAGTACATATATAGCAAAAAGGTAACTTTTTACAGTTTATAGCTGAGAAGAGAAGTTTTTAACTAGCAGGGGAAAAATTATACAAATTTTAACAAAAAAAAGAGGGATAAAAGTTCATACCTTCTACAATGACAACAGCAGAAAAGTTGAAAGTGTAGAAGATCTGGTTAAGGGCCCACTTGTAATGGCGTGCTATCTTGTAGTAGCCAACAAACTTCTTGTGGGTTGGGATCACAGAGATGTCTCTTAGGTCAGGTTGCTGGACAAAAACATTGAAGAACATTAGTTAGATTCAACAGGGGGCTCAATAAATACTTGATAGTTCTTATGTTTAAACCAACACAGACTTGCAATAATGAATACACATAAGGAAGTGAAACAATCAACAGATTTTCAAATCAGGCCTTTAGAATTTCATTTTCTCCGTCTTGAGAGTCCCTGGTTGCTCCATAACTTTCCTCCTCCTCCCCCCCCCCCCCACCACATTCACTCATACCCTTGGTATATATACTTTTACTATGGCTGAAAAAGATAGCCTACCTTTATATGTGTGATGTTGTATTTTGAGACATACTGCTCTATAACCTTGGCTGTGGGATCGTGACCACAGTCTTGACTAACTATGATGGGGAACCTTTGAGCCGACGGCCGATATCTGGGGAGGGGCAAAATCTAAGTGAGACAACAGAGATAATTTTTTTAGCACAGAGGAACAGCATTGTTTACAATTTCAATCCCCCAGATGCAATTAATTAATGAGATCTTAATGAGAACGTCATTGTAATGTCAATCATATCAATGAATGAGGATGTAAAGCCTACTTAAGCAGTTATCTAAAAGAATGAAGATGTAAGCCTACTTAAGCAGTTATCTAAAAGAATAAGGATGTAAGCCTACTTAAGCAGTTGATCTAAAAGAATGAAGATGTAAGCCTACTTAAGCAGTTATCTAAAAGAATAAGGATGTAAGCCTTCTTAAGCAGTTATCTAAAAGAATGAAGATGTAAGCGTACTTAAGCAGTTATCTAAAAGAATGAAGATGTAAGCCTACTTAAGCAGATATCTAAAAGAATGAAGATGTAAGCCTACTTAAGCAGTTATCTAAAAGAATGAAGATGTAAGCCTACTTAAGCAGTTATCTAAAAGATTGAAGACGTAAGCCTACTTAAGCAGTTGATCTAAAAGAATGAAGATGTAAGCCTACTTAAGCAGATATCTAAAAGAATGAAGATGTAAGCCTACTTAAGCAGATATCTAAAAGAATAAAGATGTAAGCCTACTTAAGCAGCTGATCCAATGCTCTATTGACTGTGACCCTATCGCAGGCTATCATGAGTATAGGCAGGATGCCGTCTTTGCTGCCACTGGGTATGTGGTCCTCTGGGCTAGCAGCCAGGGGGTCAAGGACATCATGAGCTATGCCACCACGGGACTCTGCAAGACAAACAACAAATATTTATTCATGCTCATAGCAAATAAATATCATGAGCTATGCCACCACGGGACTCTGCAAGACAAACAACAAATATTTATTCATGCTCATAGCAAATAAATATCATGAGCTATGCCACCACGGGACTCTGCAAGACAAACAACAAATATTTATTCATGCTCATAGCAAATAAATATCATGAGCTATGCCACCACGGGACTCTGCAAGACAAACAACAAATATTTATTCATGCTCATAGCAAATAAATATCATGAGCTATGCCACCACAGGACTCTGCAAGACAGACAAAAATATTTATTCATGCTCATAGCAAATAAATATCATGAGCTATGCCACCACGGGACTCTGCAAGACAGACAACAAATATTTATTCATGCTCATAGCAAATAAATATCATGAGCTATGCCACCACGGGACTCTGCAAGACAGACAAAAATATTTATTCATGCTCATAGCAAATAAATATCATGAGCTATGCCACCACAGGACTCTGCAAGACAAACAAAAATATTTATTCATGCTCATAGCAAATAAATATCATGAGCTATGCCACCACGGGACTCTGCAAGACAAACAACAAATATTTATTCATGCTCATAGCAAATAAATATCATGAGCTATGCCACCACGGGACTCTGCAAGACAGACAACAAATATTTATTCATGCTCATAGCAAATAAATATCATGAGCTATGCCACCACGGGACTCTGCAAGACAGACAACAAATATTTATTCATGCTCATAGCAAATAAATATCATGAGCTATGCCACCACGGGACTCTGCAAGACAGACAACAAATATTTATTCATGCTCATAGCAAATAAATATCATGAGCTATGCCACCACGGGACTCTGCAAGACAGACAACAAATATTTATTCATGCTCATAGCAAATAAATATCATGAGCTATGCCACCACGGGACTCTGCAAGACAGACAACAAATCTACATCTACATCTGCATCTGCATCTGCATCTACATCTACATCTATATCTACATCTACAATCTACAATCTACAATTTACATCTACATCTAGTCTACATCTACATCTACTTCTACATCATTCTACTTCTACATCATTCTACTTCTACATCTGTATCTGCATCTGGACAAATTTGGTGCCATTTCTCCAACACCAGAGAGCCCATGGCTACACCAGAGAGCCCATGGCAACACCAGAGAGCCCATGGCAACACCAGAGAGCACACGGCAACACCAGAGAGCCCATGGCAACACCAGAGAGCCCATGGCTACACCAGAGAGCCCACGGCAACACCAGAGAGCATACGGCAACACCAGAGAGCCCATGGCTACACCAGAGAGCCCATGGCTACACCAGAGAGCACATGGCTACACCAGAGAGCACACGGCAAGCCTTGAGCCTACAACACATTCCCTTACTGGCTTGGTTCTCCTTCAGCTGCTTCAAGCCTTCTAGCAGCAGCCTGTTGTCTGCTAACTGTTTGGCCATCTCAACCTCCAGCGCCAGCAGCTTCTCTGTCAGGTCCTTCTCCTTGTCTGCTGTCTGGCATTAGAAAACAGAGGGTGGGGTTCAGAAGGTGATACATAACATACATCGTATGAGAAAAAGTAAGTTGGGGTTCATAAAGAGATACATGAAATATAGACATTAGAAAACAGAGGGTGGGGTTCAGAAGGTGATACATAACATACATCGTATGAGAAAGTAAGTTGGGGTTCATAAAGAGATACATGAAATATAGACATTAGAAAACAGAGGGTGGGGTTCAGATGGTGATAGATAACATACATCGTATGAGAAAAAGTAAGTTGGGGTTCATAAAGAGATACATGAAATATAGACATTAGAAAACAGAGGGTGGGGTTCAGAAGGTGATACATAACATACATCGTATGAGAAAAAGTTGGGGTTCATAAAGAGATACATGAAATATAGACATTAGAAAACAGAGGGTGGGGTTCAGAAGGTGATACATAACATACATCGTATGAGAAAAAGTAAGTTGGGGTTCATAAAGAGATACATGAAATATAGACATTAGAAAACAGAGGGTGGGGTTCAGAAGGTGATACATAACATACATCGTATGAGAAAAAGTAAGTTGGGGTTCATAAAGAGATACATGAAATATAGACATTAGAAAACAGAGGGTGGGGTTCAGAAGGTGATACATAACATACATCGTATGAGAAAAAGTAAGTTGGGGTTCATAAAGAGATACATGAAATATAGACATTAGAAAACAGAGGGTGGGGTTCAGAAGGTGATACATAACATACATCGTATGAGAAAAAGTAAGTTGGGGTTCATAAAGAGATACATGAAATATAGACATTAGAAAACAGAGGGTGGGGTTCAAAAGGTGATACATAACATACATCGTATGAGAAAAAGTAAGTTGGGGTTCATAAAGAGATACATGAAATATAGACATTAGAAACAGAGGGTGGGGTTCAGAAGGTGATACATAACATACATCGTATGAGAAAAAGTAAGTTGGGGTTCATAAAGAGATACATGAAATATAGACATTAGAAAACAGAGGGTGGGGTTCAAAAGGTGATACATAACATACATCGTATGAGAAAAAGTAAGTTGAGGTTCATAAAGAGATACATGAAATATAGACATTATAAAACAGAGGGTGGGGTTCAGAAGGTGATACATAACATACATCGTATGAGAAAAAGTAAGTTGGGGTTCATAAAGAGATACATGAAATATAGACATTAGAAAACAGAGGGTGGGGTTCAGAAGGTGATACATAACATACATCGTATGAGAAAAAGTAAGTTGAGGTTCATAAAGAGATACATGAAATATAGACATTATAAAACAGAGGGTGGGGTTCAGAAGGTGATACATAACATACATCGTATGAGAAAAAGTAAGTTGAGGTTCATAAAGAGATACATGAAATATAGACATTAGAAAACAGAGGGTGGGGTTCAAAAGGTGATACATAACATACATCGTATGAGAAAAAGTAAGTTGAGGTTCATAAAGAGATACATGAAATATAGACATTATAAAACAGAGGGTGGGGTTCAGAAGGTGATACATAACATACATCGTATGAGAAAAAGTAAGTTGGGGTTCATAAAGAGATACATGAAATATAGACATTAGAAAACAGAGGGTGGGGTTCAGAAGGTGATACATAACATACATCGTATGAGAAAAAGTAAGTTGGGGTTCATAAAGAGATACATGAAATATAGACATTAGAAAACAGAGGGTGGGGTTCAAAAGGTGATACATAACATACATCGTATGAGAAAAAGTAAGTTGGGGTTCATAAAGAGATACATGAAATATAGACATTAGAAAACAGAGGGTGGGGTTCAGAAGGTGATACATAACATACATCGTATGAGAAAATAAGTTGGGGTTCATAAAGAGATACATGAAATATAGACATTAGAAAACAGAGGGTGGGGTTCAGAAGGTGATACATAACATACATCGTATGAGAAAGTAAGTTGGGGTTCATAAAGAGATACATGAAATATAGACATTAGAAAACAGAGGGTGGGGTTCAGAAGGTGATACATAACATACATCGTATGAGAAAAAGTAAGTTGGGGTTCATAAAGAGATACATGAAATATAGACATTATAAAACAGAGGGTGGGGTTCAGAAGGTGATACATAACATACATCGTATGAGAAAAAGTAAGTTGGGGTTCATAAAGAGATACATGAAATATAGACATTAGAAAACAGAGGGTGGGGTTCAGAAGGTGATACATAACATACATCGTATGAGAAAAAGTAAGTTGGGGTTCATAAAGAGATACATGAAATATAGACATTAGAAAACAGAGGGTGGGGTTCAGAAGGTGATACATAACATACATCGTATGAGAAAAAGTAAGTTGGGGTTCATAAAGAGATACATGAAATATAGACATTAGAAAACAGAGGGTGGGGTTCAAAAGGTGATACATAACATACATCGTATGAGAAAAAGTAAGTTGAGGTTCATAAAGAGATACATGAAATATAGACATTATAAAACAGAGGGTGGGGTTCAGAAGGTGATACATAACATACATCGTATGAGAAAAAGTAAGTTGGGGTTCATAAAGAGATACATGAAATATAGACATTAGAAAACAGAGGGTGGGGTTCAAAAGGTGATACATAACATACATCGTATGAGAAAAAGTAAGTTGAGGTTCATAAAGAGATACATGAAATATAGACATTATAAAACAGAGGGTGGGGTTCAGAAGGTGATACATAACATACATCGTATGAGAAAAAGTAAGTTGGGGTTCATAAAGAGATACATGAAATATAGACATTAGAAAACAGAGGGTGGGGTTCAGAAGGTGATACATAACATACATCGTATGAGAAAAAGTAAGTTGGGGTTCATAAAGAGATACATGAAATATAGACATTAGAAAACAGAGGGTGGGGTTCAAAAGGTGATACATAACATACATCGTATGAGAAAAAGTAAGTTGAGGTTCATAAAGAGATACATGAAATATAGACATTATAAAACAGAGGGTGGGGTTCAGAAGGTGATACATAACATACATCGTATGAGAAAAAGTAAGTTGGGGTTCATAAAGAGATACATGAAATATAGACATTAGAAAACAGAGGGTGGGGTTCAAAAGGTGATACATAACATACATCGTATGAGAAAAAGTAAGTTGAGGTTCATAAAGAGATACATGAAATATAGACATTAGAAAACAGAGGGTGGGGTTCAAAAGGTGATACATAACATACATCGTATGAGAAAAAGTAAGTTGAGGTTCATAAAGAGATACATGAAATATAGACATTATAAAACAGAGGGTGGGGTTCAGAAGGTGATACATAACATACATCGTAAGAGAAAAAGTAAGTTGGGGTTCATAAAGAGATACATGAAATATAGACATTAGAAAACAGAGGGTGGGGTTCAGAAGGTGATACATAACATACATCGTATGAGAAAAAGTAAGTTGGGGTTCATAAAGAGATACATGAAATATAGACATTAGAAAACAGAGGGTGGGGTTCAGAAGGTGATACATAACATACATCGTATGAGAAAAAGTAAGTTGGGGTTCATAAAGAGATACATGAAATATAGACATTAGAAAACAGAGGGTGGGGTTCAAAAGGTGATACATAACATACATCGTATGAGAAAAAGTAAGTTGAGGTTCATAAAGAGATACATGAAATATTGACATTAGAAAACAGAGGGTGGGGTTCAGAAGGTGATACATAACATACATCGTATGAGAAAAAGTAAGTTGAGGTTCATAAAGAGATACATGAAATATAGACATTAGAAAACAGAGGGTGGGGTTCAGAAGGTGATACATAACATACATCGTATGAGAAAAAGTAAGTTGGGGTTCATAAAGAGATACATGAAATATAGACATTAGAAAACAGAGGTTAACGCTCAGCAGACGATTGATTGGTTTATGTCCCATTATTGTCATGTGACTTTGAGGTCATAAAAATGGTGATAAAAATGGTTTTTTTCAAGCACAATAGTATTTTATATTAAAATAAATGATGAATTAATCATAATCTGCAGAAAATATTAATTTTAAACTTATTATATATTTTCGAGTACGAAAATTAATGCTATCGCGCGATCGGCGAGACGCCGCCATCTTGCCGACTTTGCATTCATCCTCGGTCAGACCTCATGGAAAATGGAATTAGATTCTAATTATCTGCGTGAAAATGATTTAGATTCAAGTAACGAAGAAGTGTAGGACCTTACTGATGTCCTAGACACTGGAGATGATGAAAATACAGTTTTGAACGCAATTTTGAACTCTTTCTCTACACATCGTAAGTAACTCGGTTTTTATCGTTTTTTTTCCTACTAATTTTTTGGCGATTTTTATAAATTTTTCTTTTTAATGATATTAATTAGATATAAATGTGTAGTTAAAAGAACACTTCAATAATTTTACTATGTAACTAGCCTACTTTTAGTTCATAGTATATGACAATTATTAAATAATAGTAGTATTGGTAGCAGTACTGTCTACCGTCTAGAATGTAAACACAAATCAGCTGATCATACATGATTGTAATAAAAACTCAGTTTTCTTTTGTTACAAACAGTACTAACTTGTACTAACTTATTATAAATCACCTAACATTTATGATGAAAGTATCATATGTGAAAATATTAAATAGAATCCATAATTTAAATATTTACCATTTTTTCTTTTCAACAGAACTGTGAATTTATAAAGAAAAAAAGGAGTGAATGGGTATCCCTTATCAACTGGGACTATTACTTCCTGAGAAAGAACCAGGAATTCAGCTGGCTGAGATGAGGACAGGAGACAGTACAATGAAGTATATGTTTCTCAAACCTATTGTGTTTGTAAACTCTACAGTGGATATTGTGACATACATTCATTATGTCAATTTACCAATGTCTATGTAAAGCGACACAGATCACCTATCTGTCTCGGGATGATTTAATTCGACACCTGATTAAATCTTACAGGTTTTATGGACTTACAATACGTGCTGGGGATTATCAAGACACTCATTTTGACAGATTCTGAAGCAAGAATTTACTCTATGCTCTACAATGGACTGCGGCTCAAGCTTTCATATCTCGCTATTGCTTCAAAGCTGTCATGCTTTTTGAAAGATGTACTCAAGATACTGAACATACAAAGGACATATTATACAAATAATGCATCCTACTTACATCAAAATTAAGTGCAGTAAATTGTTGTAGCTTTATACAATATTTCTATAGATAAGACAATGGTGAATGGTTAGGAAGAATATTTTTCTTGACAATACATTATGATTGCGGATAAGCCAACAGTAGGGTATGCAATTATGAGCTTTTGGCTGATCACTGACAGGTTACACATATGGTTTTGTTATTTTAAATTTTATTATTCTGGTCAGTGGGCCAGATGGATTAATTTATGTGGTGGATGAAAGTGATCAGTTAATTAAACTGTTATGTCCTTCGGTAAACAATTAAGTACTAGAACTAATTTTTTTCACCTTTGAGATATAACTAAAGTTAATTTCTATATTTAATTTCAAGATTATTGAGAAAAGAATCCAGATATCTTAGAAATAAAAATTCCAACAAGGTATTGCCAATTACACTCTTCATGAGTTGGTTTGAGAGTTAGGTAATATTTCACTTATCCATCCTGTTTCTTTGGATTATAATCCACCATTATTTTCCAACCATTCTATAAACCATGCATAGTATATCAGATTAGCATAAAGTTTTTAAATTGTTATTGTATTGATTAAAAAAAATTAAAAGAATAAAAGTTAAGTGTCGATAAGTGTATGCGGTACTATATGTTTACAAAAAGAAGGAAATTGTCTGTGTAGTTATCACATATGTTCACATTATTTATCAATTAAAGATCATAAAAAGCATCTATTTTAATTTAATTAGAAGTACTGCAGATATTTGAATTTGATCTTTTCATTATATTTACTTATGTGTGTGTTTGATTCCATGTTTACCTATGTTTGCCACTTGTAGTGTAAAAAGTGTTTGCAGAAGGACCAATTACTGTAAAAATGATCATAATGTCATTTAATTTGTGAAAAATCCATTTCCAGACTCAGTGCATTCAAAATTGTCATAATTGTACATATATGGTTGTTGTACAATAAAATATACAAATTAACTCTATAGCTGTTATCAATTAATTTTTTTCTTCTTAGGGATTGTTGATTTAAACAAATTTTTTTGTTTTTTTAAAAACTAAACCATCAGATTTTAGGCTACAAATCTAAGACCAACAGTTAACACCTAAATCCCTTCTCTGATATTAAAGGCAAATCAAATGCCTACACAATGATATATAACACATGCGTGTGCTGATGTTCTAACTTTACTTATGGTCAAAAGAAGCAAGCATACTGCCGGCTACTGAAAATATCACTAAAAACCCTTAGTCTGTTAAGAGTTAAGCTTAACAATGTGATACTTGCATACAAACATTAGAAAAGAGGGTGGGTTTCATAATATAAAACTTGGCATAGACAAGACATTAGAAAACAGTACAACAGAGAGGGGTACACTGGGGTTCATAAGGTAATACTTGACACAGATATAACAAGATCAAGTTGTGTGTACAATGTGAAACTACCAATATCTTTACAAAAAGACAAGGAAAGAAACAACAGATTAAAAATGTTTTGGAAGACAAGGAATAAAATTTTTCTATGTGTAGATTCAACATTGTTTCAAATAATGCCAGCTTATTTTTTTGTCTATCCCATAGATCACCCACAGGAAAGGGAAAAAATATTTAAGACTTAATTAGAAAATATGTTAGAAAAAAAATCAATATGCTGCCTTGCAAAGCAATGTTCAAGTCTGAATGGAAGAGATAATATTCAAGCCAACTGAGCTTATAAGTAAATAAGGTGATGACAAGCTTTTAAAAATAATCCCAGTAATCCATTCTTATAATCTCACGCCCTGAAGGCATTGATATAATTCATCTAGCATGGCTAGGGATTGACTGGGCTCTATGTGGTTTAGCTTGATAGTTCAGCAGTATGGAGGTGGGGGAGGGGTGGATTTAGATGAATGGTAAACTTACACATCTACAGCAGGTTTTTAAGACAGAACTCAGCGGATCTGTAGTTAATACAATTATGTCAACAATTTCAGAATTTGTTTTTAAATCACACAGAAATGTCTTGTGAAATATCTCCTAAACGGTGAAAGTTTAAGCCTACTTAAGTAAGTTCTGGTACAGAAAGTAACTTCAAAGTAACTCTATAACATAGCTGGAATAGTAGTTTAGTCACACTGACAAAATCTAATAACAATACTCTGTGAACCAGAGATAAGTACTCTATACAGAACATATCAGTAGGTAAAACTAAAAAAAAATGTTGTTCAAATTTCATTAAAAATAAAAAGGTAAAGATAAGTCAGTTTTAATAACATGACCTGGAAATTGGATGGTTATGTGAAAACAATTTGAGAGTCTAGGAAGAAATGACCTTTAATATGTAGGAGAACACAGACCCTTATGTGTGTTTTATTCTTCTAAAAACCTACCAAAGACAGAGGCTTGCTGCTGATTGTGTAGTAGGTGATGAAGTTCCACAGCAGGAAGACCAAACCAAAGAGCAGGATAAAGTGGAGCTTCTTGACCCGCATGCTGATTAGCCTGGACATGATGCTGGCTTTGGTCCAGGGCTTCACCTTGCCATACTGGCCAGCGTAGTTGGTGGTGCTCCTGTCACCATCTGCAACAGCAAGACAGTTTGTCAGAGGTCATCAACCCAGTTATGGAGAGGTCATCATCCCAGTATGTCAGAGGTCATCACCCCAGTATGTCAGAGGTCATCATCCCAGTTTGTTAGATGTCTTCTGTTTGCCAGTTTAATACAACTACCTAGTCACTTTGTTAGATGTCTTCTGTTTGCCAGTTAAATACAACTGCCTAGCCTGTTTGTTAGATGTCTTCTGTTTACCAGTTTAATACAACTGCCTAGCCTGTTTGTCACTTTGTGAGAGACCATCTAGCCTGTTTAGATCATCTAACCAGTTATTAGGGTCATCTAATCATTGTTACAGATCATCTAACCAGTTCTTAGGGTCATCTAACCAGTTCTTAGGGTCATCTAACCAGTTTTTAGGGTCGTCTAACCAGTTCTTAGGGTCATCTAATCATTGTTACAGCTTGCCAGTTGGTTCAGATCATCTAACCATAAAACTACCCACATAAAGCCACATTGTTAAAGGTTATCCAAGCATCTATAACAAGAGTAAAACATGTGGCCACAGTGTCATGCACAGTTTGGATGTTTTGATCCAGCCTGACAACATTATGACATTCAACTGATAACAGAGAGTACACACATAACCAGATGATCACAGAACTCAGTTCTAGTTGTCAGACCCTGTGTCATTCACACCATAATAACCCATACCGTGTCCTATACATCACATATATTAGTATCTCATGTCACTGAGTACTAAATACATCGCCATTTTATTTTGAATTGTATTGCTGCAATAGATGTACCAAGCTTTCCATGGATTCCTATATCTACCCACATTCTCCTAACTTTTTTTGTTTTCATTAAAAAAAATATGAAATCACAATACTATGAGCTTTGAGGGTGCTGATTATGGCTTCAAAGGTTGCAATTTTTTTTTCATTTTTTTTAAAGATGGCTTTGCTGCTAGTATGAAAACAAAATGAAAAAAAAAACGTGTTTACTATTTAAACAATGAGAAGATGGCAGAACTCCATTATAAAATGTATCTTGGTTTTTTACATTAAAAAAGTTCTATGTGTTATTGGTCGAGCCCCAGATCATAACGTATGTATTAAACTGAATGGAACGTAAGTTACTCTTTAAGTAACCACTAAAACTAGCCATATGTTGTTTTTAGCTAATACTAACGCCATCCCTCTTAAAAGTACCATTTCTAAATATATGTTGTTTTAAGCAATGTAAATGATACATTTATCAGAATAAGAGGAAGGCTTTGATTTATTTCCAATTGTCAATACAGATACACACGTCACCAACACATCTGTTATTGTAACAGGGAAATACTTCCGAGCCACTGGGTGTTTTATGTAAACAGTGAAGGACAATAGAAGATAAAAAGATAAAATTAAAACAAAGCAAAAACCTGCTGAAAAAAAAGATGGGAACATGAAAAGATGAAGCTACAGATATGAAAAGATGAAGCTGTTGATGTGAAAAGATGAAGCTGTGGATGTGAAAAGATGAAGCTGTGGATGTGAAAAATGAAGATGCGGATGTGAAAAGATGAAGCTGTGGATGTGAAAAATGAAGATGCGGATGTGAAAAGATGAAGCTGTGGATGTGAAAAGATGAAGCTGTGGATGTGAAAAGATGAAGCGGTGAATGTGAAAAGATGAAGCTGTGGATGTGAAAAGATGAAGCTGTGGATGTGGATAGATGAAGCTGTGGATGTGAAAAGATGAAGCTGTGGATGTGAAAAGATGAAGCTGTGGATGTGGATAGATGAAGCTGTGGATGTGAAAAGATGAAGCTGTGGATGTGGATAGATGAAGCTGTGGATGTGGATAGATGAAGCTGTGGATGTGGATAGATGAAGCTGTGGATGTGGATAGATGAAGCTGTGGATGTGAAAAGATGAAGCTGTAGATGTGAAAAGATGAAGCTGTGGATGTGAAAAGATGAAGCTGTGGATGTGGATAGATGAAGCTGTGGATGTGAAAAGATGAAGCTGTGGATGTGAAAAGATGAAGCTGTGGATGTGAAAAGATGAAGCTGTGGATGTGAAAAGATGAAGCTGTGGATGTGGATAGATGAAGCTGTGGATGTGAAAAGATGAAGCTGTGGATGTGGATAGATGAAGCTGTGGATGTGAAAAGATGAAGCTGTGGATGTGAAAAGATGAAGCTGTGGACGTGAAAAGATGAAGCTGTGGATGTGGATAGATGAAGCTGTGGACGTGAAAAGATGAAGCTGTGGATGTGAAAAGATGAAGCTGTGGATGTGAATAGATGAAGCCGTTGTTGTGACTAAGACAAAAAAATATGGGCACCAAATAATAGCTGGTTTAACAATACTGATGAATGTACGGACCATAAATACTAACAAAAGTTCCACGGGTGCTTTATAGCACCTGTTTCAACCCACGTTTTTACAATGCCCGCATTATGTGTAGAGCGGTAGAAGGCTTTTCTTTTTAACTGGAATAATCGACATACCATTAGGACGATACGGATAGTCGATAAAAAAAAAACCGTTGAAACTGTAACTAAAAATGTAACTAGAAACAAAAATTGTCTAACTGTGCAATATACGACCGGACGCAGGGCGTGTAATATACATGAACACAATAAAGAACCTACCACAGTGTATTTAATACACAGGGAATGGAGCACAATCTACAACCTAACAATGTAAATATACGGAGGGTGGCACACAATACAGAGCCGATAATATACTTAATGAACTGAGTGTACATACGTGTTTGGTCACACGAGGTGGGGGAGGGATAGGTTGTAGTCGTCTATTTACGAGCAAGCTTGTGCCATAAAAGGATTAATTTGAAATGCATAGGCTGTGTCGCTGCGGGCAAGAGATGGTAGCCGATATTTCTTCTCAACAATAGAGTGTAAAGAGGAGTCATTGGGAGTGTAGTAGAGGCTGACGGTATGAGTTACAGTGTTTCTTCCAGACTTTTTTCTCCGGGGGGGGGGGGGGGGGGGGGGCACTTGAAATTTTCGGGGGGGGGGGGGGGCGGTAGACTTTCTTCGGGGGGGGGGGCGGACACTGTTAAAAGTATATATTTTCTATATAAATTATATAAATTCCATTTCGTTCGGGGGCCTGGAAGAAACTCTGTTTACAAGTATCCGCAGTATCCGATTAGGCAAACATTTTTCTAACAACATACGGACAAAATTGCTAAACTATGATTTTCCAACTTAGGGAGGTGTAAAAAGTGAGATTTGTGAAAATTTCGATTTTGATTTTTCGCACAATTACAAAACTTACTGTATACTTCCTAAAAAACAGTAAAAAAAAAAACAGACAACAAATAGATCACACCTTTGAGTACAGGTGATTGTTTTTATTTAGTCCAGACTGAACATGTGTTCACTATACTCTCTATCACAATCATTAACCCTTCACACCACAGTACTTATCACAACCACGCCCCCACCCCATCATATACTGTGCTGTCTCCCCCGTGGTGTGACTGGCGGTACACATAGAGCATATCGCATTCATATTGATCTGTTGCCGTCCCATTCAATACGCGCGCACTGCTGGTGAGTACAGCTTTACCATACAGCATCCGATGAGAGTAAAGCTTTAGCATACAGCAACCTATGAGAGAGCAGCTTTAGAATACAGCATCCTATGAGAGTAAAGCTTTAGCATACAGCATCCTATATGAGAACAGCTTTAGCATACAACATCGTATAACAGCTTTACCATACAGCATCCGATGAGAGTAAAGCTTTAGCATACAGCAACCTATGAGAGAGCAGCTTTAGAATACAGCATCCTATGAGAGTAAAGCTTTAGCATACAACATCCTATGAGAGAGCAGCTTTAGCATACAGCATCCTATGAGAGAGCAGCTTTAGCATACAGCATCCGATGAGAGAAAAGCTTTAGCATACATCATTCTATGAGAGAAAAGCTTTAGCATATAGCATCCAATGAGAGAACAGCTTTAGCATACATCATTCTATGAGAGAAAAGCTTTAGCATACATCATTCTATGAGAGAAAAGCTTTAGCATACAGCATCCTATGAGAGAACAGCTTTAGCATACATCATCGTATATCAGCTTAAGCATACAGCATCCTATATGAGAACAGCTTTAGCATACAACATCGTATAACAGCTTAAGCATACAGCATCCGATGAGATAACAGCTTTAGCATACAGCATCCTATAAGAGAACAGCTTTAGCATACAGCATCCTACAAGAGAACAGCTTTAGCATACAGCATCCTATGAGAGAACAGTTTAAGAGCTGTAGTTGTTTGACTGGGTTACGTAGCACAAACAACACGTGCTGTATGCTGAAGTGTATGACGATCCTACTCAATAAATATTGCACCTAGGTTCTAGACGACAAATATTGCTTCAGCCTAGCTCGTCACGCTACAATACCTCACAAATTGTGGGCTAAGCTGGAATACAACCAACGTTATTGTTAGAGCACAAGAAGTTCTGATGAAACATTTGTTTGATCTTACAACAAATACAGCTATTCTAGTGCACGGTTGTCCTTCCTTAATCAGCGATCAATTTACGTTATTGGTATAACAAAGATGTAATATCCCACGAACAAATAATTATAAAAGTATTTACTTTTTTATCTTTGTGATTCGGCTAATGTTACAATACTCAACAACGCGGAAGCAAGTTTAATTAAACCAAAATCACGTGATACAGAATATAATGTTTCATTCACCTTTACTAATTAAGTAACACGGCATCTCAAATTATTTTGAAAAATAGAAGTTTTAATACGAATCCAACCAAAACAATGTAAAAATATTTAAAATGGAAAACATGTCGATCCTTGTGTAAAGTACACCAAGGTACAAGCGCCTCGTGCTGAGCAGAAAATTGTGTCGCTCACAGTTGTAATATTTGTCCTTCCCATCCCATACCAAGGTTTCAGACCAGAATTAAACCTAGCCCAACAACACGGCGTAGATTCTGCCGGTCCGACAACACTGCAGCAGATTCTGCCGGTCCGACAA